TTATAACATTTCAATGTTGGTGCTGTATGACTGCATATATATATATATATATATATATATATATATATATATATATATATATATATATATATATATATATATATATATATATATATATATTATATAACAGATTTATTTACGAGCCATCTGCCCCTCCCTTATTCTCACATTCCTTTAATAATCATAGAAAAATATAAATCAAGTATTCATAACTCAGTCTTATTATTGATTTTATTATAATTTTTACTTTATCAATTGCTCACGATTATACTGCTATAACTCTTATTCATATTAGTTATATTATCATTATTCACATCAATTACATCATTGTTATTCCTGCCGTTGTTTTGTTATTATCATTGTTAGTATTTATGCTATTTAATCACCATCTTCAACATTATTACTGTTATTATTCAATCACCATTATTACTATTATTGTCATTACTGTTATCATTATCATTAATATAAACATTATGGATAGCCCACCATTGTTGCTAAATAAAGCCGTAACCTTTCCCATATCACTAACCCCCCCCCCCCCCGGCCTGAACTGCGCAGAACTTGGCAATACTTCCACCCATGGCCAATAGTGTACAAGGTCTGTTCAAGTTGTTTGAAAATTGGTTGTTTATTGCGCACCTCGGGTCTGACGTCACGAGCCGTTCCAGTTGAACCCACTGAGTCTGTAACATCAATTCGATCTACATTTACAATGATAATTATCTTAATGCATTCAGATCCTCCATAAACATATACTGCTGAATAACGATGAAAATTGCCTTCACGCTAATCAAGGAGGCATTTAGAAAGGTAGATGTATGTGGAGCAGAAGGAAATAAACTAATTGGCATCTCGTGTTGGTCGCCTGAATTTGCCACGACCCATTTTGACAGAGCTACCTGCACTCGGCACTCACGCACATTGCCAGTAGAACCTAAGCTCTTCGTAAAGATCCTTGATTCATTGTAATCAGATCTCATTCAGATAGTGTTACCAGCTACAGCAAACATAAACTACACGAGTTAATTATACAAAAGCGGAGAGCTGTTTCGCTTGTAATCTATCAAATTACTGAGCTTGGTGAATGTAATTTTGAGGTACGATATATTGCCAGGATTATTACAGTATATGGGATAAACGTGAAGAAAAAGACTCCGTTATACCATAGTTCACTAGAATGTCAATACATAAAAAGACCGCTTTCCCGCCTCACAAGTTGTCAAAATTGGGAAGAGCACAGTGCTTTTACTCAAGGAATGTCATAGCTAGCCAGTCAGGACAGTTTTCAATTGTTTCTAATTTTTTTCGTTTCCTGTCAGTACCAGTATCAGAAGTGCAAAAAAAAAAAAAAAAAAATTGACACCAATTTAAGCTTAAAGATAACGCTACCTCCCTTACAGATATCTTGGTGCTAATCAAAAAAATTACGTCAGTATCACCGAGTCTACTGCAGATGACGTCATTACCTGCGCAAATAGAGGGTGAAATAATCTTGTATTCTCTTGACTTTGCCAACACCCGTGGCTAACAACTGGCGGCCTGCGAACCTCAACTTAAAGTGGTCACACTTGTCTTCTCTGCCCTGGGATCCCTAGACAACCGCGTCGAATGTCTGTCAGCTACAAAGCAAGATTGGTCCCACTATGCAGTCTCCCTTGGTGGAGAAGTATCGTCCCAGAAAAAGCCAGTGTTTTAGGAAAAGTCAACCAACCCATTTTATTAGTTATACATCATGCAACCGTTCCAGCTAACCCAATACCCCATATTTCAACAGAAATAGAAAATCCGACAATCTTCTATCCAATATGCCGCTTTTAGTGTAATCAGTAATGTATGAGAGACGTAATTATGAGATGATAAAAAGTTGAGAGGAAGGAAATACTAAAACTGAAATTGAGTAAAATAACAGTATTCGTCGAACGTGACAGCCATGCCAGCCGTACGATTATACCCAGTCCAAGCGAATTGTCTTGTTGCTTTCGTCCATTATTGTTATTTTCATCATAATATTTGTTATGATATTTGTAGATAATATTCCATTATTGTTCTCTGGCTCTCACTCTGCCCAGCAGGACAGAGTGAGAGCCAGAGAAGTGAGTTCCGTGTCTACAGCATGTCGGAGTGAGTGTTTACATTCCTTAATCAAATGAACGTTTGTCTGGATAATCTTTAAAATCTAATTGTAATAAATATTACTATAGTACAATTGTACCAAACATAACGTAATATTCGCTTTTTAGACAAGTAATAAGCTTCTTCCTGATTATGTTACTGTTTTTGTTTTAGCATCTTTCCCCTCTTTATTTGGGACGAAAGACTAAGAAGGTATTTCCGCTCTGGGAAGGAAATTTCTTATTTCTTCCCTTCGCAGCTTTTGAAGCATCCCGCTTTGTAAAGGGATCCCTGGACTGAATAGACGGCCCTGAGGGAATTGCAGAGGGATGGTAGGGATGGCACATAGCTTAAGGAATATATACTGTAAGGCAGTTTGCTAAGCGGTTGACAAGTGTCTATACTAGGAATATACTACGAAGCCATAGGTCTTTCAGTGGCCGGACTCCCTAACACGCGACCGCAACGCACTTACCAGGAGTCTGTTATCATCACGTTTACCCGCATTGGTAAAGTGGGATTCATGAGATGGCAGTTAGCCTTGATAGATCGTAAATCGACTCGTTCTTAAAGTAGTAAAGCAATTCCACTAATCAGAAAGTGTCATGCACAATTCTTTTGGCTCCTTCAACCAATCACATAACATTCAGACAAACTCTTAGAAGTATGGTTGTGGCAAAAGTACCACATAAACATACATAGACACAGAAGCTGCTATACTCGTTTATCTTTTCTGCTATCAGTTTATCAATAAGTTTGCTTTTCCTTTGAATTTGCAATGATGTTAGATAACAATGTTTTAGGAGTTCGTCGATCTATCGATTCCATATACCCTTTATACTCTCATATAGGCCTACATGTCTGCCTATAGTTTTACAAAAATCTGTTTGGACGTTATTCTGACTCATTTTATGTAAAATTTGCATTTCCACATCATGACCTTGTGATGTGTGCTTGCCATCATGACAATCGTAGCAATTATGGAACAATCCAAAAACCACTGGTAAAATTTACCATATATACAATTAGGTAAATACACTTGTAGCGAGAGCAGAATTGAATATGATTATTACTATCATTTTCATTATCATCACCACCATCGTTATCATCTTTATTATCATTACTGTTATCGTTATGTTTACTATTGCATCTATTTTCTTTTTTTTTTATGTAAGCAGCATCATTATTATTTGCACATACTCATGATGACCATGATATTGTCATCCTTATTATCATTACAAAGGTAACAATAAGAGCAAGTCATAGTTGTAATAACAATATCATTGCTACTAAAGATAATGCTTTCATCAGCCATAATGATGACGGTAATACTGATACCGGTAATGATAACGATAATGATGATGATGATGATAGAACCACTGCTACTACTATTACTATTACAACTACTAATACTACTGATGATGTGATGATATTACTAATATAATGATAATGATGATGATGCTACTACTACTACTACTACTAATATTGATAACAGCAACAGGAATGATGATAATAATGCTAAAAATAATGATAATGATAACAGAAGTAATACTTATAAAAAGATGAAGAACAGAGTATGCTGACCATGACATATTACCGAAAGTGGGATGGGGATGTGAGGTACACTGAAAAGTTACTTTCACGTAGCCTGAAATTCTGTTAGTTTACTCAGGTGCAAAATTACTGTTTGAATTTCATTCTTGTGCTTTTACACTGGTAATAGGCTAACAAAGTGCTATCTGAAATACTTACTTTGCTGACTGTCAACTGCAGTACAGTAGTAACGGTTATTAGCAATCTCACACAACACAGCGGTGCAAACACTATTAGCAAAGGACTATTCTTAGCATGCTGTTGATCTTTCAGTTGTCCCTGGCTGTGCTTGCATTAGGCCTCATACTAGGTCTAACGCATTATATTAACTAATTTATTATTATGTTATTGTAATCTATGATTTCAGCTTCAGTGTACAGTTGCAAGGACTAAGCTAATGAAATCACGCCTAGTCGAATGTAGAATATGTTTAGAAATCCGAGAATTCGTAAAATCAGAACAGGTGTTGCAAGACTTCGACCTCATGTTAGAGTATTACAGCTTGGGCTCTGTCAGAAACACTTGTTCGGGGTCCTGTGGTGTAAGTGGTGTGGCGAAACCTCTTTAAATATGCTACGTATCTCTTGTGTAATTTAGTGAAATAGGAAATTATTTCATCAGTATTAAATCGAATAAATGTCATTTGCAGAGAATATTATTGTTATTAATGCTGGTAGTTAATAACGATACGAAGAAAAAATAAGACCATAAAGCTATGGAAAGAAGTTCCCCATTATGAAGTCCATGCTCAAATTAACACTGTGCGGAGGTAACTCTTGAGAAATTAACTTAGCTTTTTTTATTTCTCGCTCGCCTGTTCTACCACCACCACCGCCGCCACCACCATCACCACTGCCACCGCCGCCACCACCACCACTGCCACCGCCGCCACCACCACCACCGCTGCCACGCCACCACCACCACCGTCGCCTCATCACTACCGGCTGACGAAGCTGGGTGCTGGACCGGGAGGCGGCCGCCGTGCACGAGTGGCTCCGGTCGGGTCGGTCTTTCCACGTGATGCACGACCACCCCGTGCACAGAGCTCTGATGATGGCAGGTAATCTTTCGCACGTCACAGGAAATTGTAATTGTGTGTGTTTTTATGGGTTATATCTCCTTGTGGATGTGGCTGGTAAAGTAAGGGCAATGGTTTCACACTTTACGTTAAAGGGCATATGTGAAGTAATTATCGTGCATTGTTTTTTCTTTGAATATTGTTCAGTAATGTATTCTTAGCCTATTCATGCAAAAAAAAAAAAAAAAAAAAAAAAATCGGAGACCCTCTGGTATCCCCCCAAATCCCATAGCAACGCCCTTTAGAGCGAAGATGCAAAACTCGGCGGTCTTCGGCAATTCCCGGTTGTGACGTCATTCCCAGGACCAGGGAGAATCTTGTTGAATAGCGAGATACACACAGTGCACCCGCGAGTCAAGGATATCATGGAATTGTCCCAGTTTCATGCTATTAAAGTTTGTAACAAAGGATTCCGCGGCGTTGTGTAGCAATTCATTGTTCCCATTCATGTCACCAGCTATTTGAATGGCCAAAAGACCGCGACAGAGCAAGGAAGTGGACACGTTTCGTGCATGCAAGCGGCGCAACTTTCAGCCTGTGCCAAGCAGCATACTTTGCCTGAAACACTTCGAGCCCGATTGCTTTGCGAATAGAATGGCTTACGACATGGGATTTGCAAAAGGTAGACCATTTCCAATTTATATTTGTCATGATCACAACAGTGCAAAACAAACTCTGAAAGAGTGCTTGTGCTTGGCGGCGTAGCAAACATTCATTGCATGAGTACGACACAGTGTCCCGAGTGCATTGCAAGTGTGCATGTTTTACTACACAGAGGTAGGGTAGGTATACCCCAAAAAGCACAACACAAATAAATACCGATGCCCCTCCACTCGTGAATGGATGTAGGCCTGCGCCACGAGTGCAGACAAGAGATAGCTCAGCCTGCAAAATTTTCAACCATACAAAAGCGGAATCACACGTTCGGCTATAAAAAATAATTTAGAAATTTACCATTCATTCAATCTCTTTGGGTCTCGACGCCACTCCATGTCTGGCTGGTTTGGCACAACTTCCACGACATCCACAGCGTCGGGTTCGTGCATGTACGGTGCAACAGCCATCAACCCCAGATGTTCCTCTTCTTCTTCCAACTCTTCGAAGACGTAGGCACCCTCTGAAGAACTTATACCAATGTCCTCGTCGGAATGATTCGATGAAACTTCACTGCCGCTGTAGTCTTGTAGTGAGTCTGCCATGTACAACGTATTGAATGCAGAGAATGCGGTGATCGTGTTCTGGAATTGACGTCACACATCCGGGTTCCGGATTTTCGCGGGAAAATTTAACTTGACTTGAATCGAAATAAATCAATTTTGGGGAATTATTTTCAGATTTCACTTTTTGCTCTTATTAGAGAGATGGTTTGCGAGCTAATTCTCCCTTCTTAAAATTTTCAGTTGTTACTTCACATAAGCCCTTTAAGAGTAAAAACCTGATGGAAACACATCGACCTTCAAACCAAAAACACGAATACATTCATTAATTTTTCTTTCTTTTTTCGTTTATATATTTTCCCCTTTTTGTGTACTTATCTTTCATCTTCATTTAATTTCGTATCTATTAACTATCCTTAATTTCGTATCTATTAACTACCCTAGCTATTTATATACATATTTTTTTTTGTGGCTTCGACTCACCAATTCCCTCTGTCAAACTCAGGTCTCTGGGGCGCCTTCAACAAGAACCAGACTTTGATGAGGAAAATGCGAGACAGGATGTTCAACAGCCCGAGGAACCTAGACAAGGCGTACGACCAACGACTCCTGCTAAATATCGTATGGCCTGTGGTGAAGGTAATGTTTTATGAATGGAGATTTCGTGCGGGTGGGTGGCTGATAGGCATGCGCAGAAGGGATGAGTAGAAGGGGGGGGGTGAGTGTGTGAATGAGGTGGGGGAGAGAGGGAGAGGTGGGGGAGGAAGAAGACATAAAGAAACAGACAAACAGAAAGCAGAAAAAAAGGAAGAACAATCAACCAAAACCTCAAGACACCCCCACCCCCCCAAAAAAAAAATGAAAATAATAATAATCACAACAACAACAACAACAAACCACGCACAGACACCCAGCATAACCTCCTTCCCCCTCTCCAGAACGACGTCCTAAACCACGACAGTTACACGTGCCTCCATCCTTCCCACATCAACGCCACGCCCTTCCCGACGAAGAGAGAAGACAACAAGTACTGCGGCTGGGGGATCTCCAAGGGCACCGCCAGGAGGAAGCTGTCGAAGAAATCCTGTCCGATCGCTTGCCGGCCGAAGGAACACCCGGACTGGACCAAGTGCTGAAGAAGATCGGATAACGGGTAAATTATATCGGATAACGGGTCGTCTCTAAAGAAGTTCGGATAACGGATAACGGGGTCGTCTCTATCTTAATTTCTGGCGTTATCTGTTTTATCATTAGATCGATATTTGTATTGTTGTTCGTATCATTGTCATTGTGATCATTATTATTATTGGTAATATTGTTAGTGATAATATGATCATTGTTCTATTGGTTATTAATGTCATTATTATTATTATTATGATTATTATCTTCATTATCATCATTGTTAATATTATTATAAATACTATTATTATTATAATTATCATCATTATTATTACATTATTCATATTATCATTATAATTATCAACATTGCCATTTTCATTAATATTATTATTACTGTTATCATTATTGTTATTACTATTATTATCATTATTATTAATGTCA